ACCTCCCAGGTTCAAGTGATCCTCCTACCTCAGCCCCGTAAGTAGCTGGGACTACAGGAGCATGCCATCATGCCCGGCTAATTTTTATATTTTTGGTAGAGATGGGGTTTTGCCAGGTCCCCAAGGCTGGTCTTGAACTCCTGACATCAAGTGATCTACTCACCTCGGCTTCCCAAAATGCTAAGAGTACAGGTGTGAGCCACTGTGCCCAGCCCCAAACTTTTAAAAATTCAAGTGAACTGTACACATACTACAGTAAGACAAAAGAGAGTCATGCTGTTAAAATGGAAATACTGGCTGAGACACAGTGCTCCCGTGCAAAGCACAGGTCAAAACACCAGTGAGGCTATAGATAGGCATGTATATATATGCACACACACGTTAGGTGTTATTATGAATATATAATATATAGTCATATATTGATATATACGAATATATACACATGCACAGACACATTAGATATGATTACTATATATGTATATACAGTGAATATACATATGAGTATGTGATATATAATGAATATATAGATATACATGAACACACACATAATGTTAGCTACTATTACTATACCTCATCTCACTATTCATATTCTGCCTTGGATTTCACTAACTTGAGTATCTGCCTTATGTTCCTCTAGCACCCGGACTATAAACTCCTACAGGGGTATGCTGGTCTTTTCATTGCTACCTTCTACTGTGACTCAGAGTTGGTACTAGTTTAAGGAATGGAAGAACATATCTTTTACGGCCATTTTCCAAAAAGCACATTATTACAATGGGTTGCATTCCAGTGATCCCCACACATTGTGTGTGGGGGGTGCTTAACGTCTACACATTAAAGGCCACCCCCTACACAGGCTCTTAATGCATTCCTCAAAATGTATATATAAATGGACTGTACGGAAACTGAACAAAAGACATACATGTCCTGAAGGGAATAAAAATCTTACAACTATCTTACTGTTGAAACTGTTAGAACAAAATAAAGGGTCTTTAGGAAAGTGTTTCTGAGAGTACACATAATCTATAGTCTATGATCAATGTATACCATAGTTTATGAAACTTATCACGTAATCTATCACAAGTGAGATGATGGCAGGTATCATTAGATGTTCCAAATTGGAAAGTCTTCAGCTTCAATGAGATGCCCTGGGACTTAACTTTGTCAGTAGTGTTCAGTTGTGAAACAATTTCCAAAAATGTATATGAAATACTGGAACAGATCATTAAAGGAGAGGTGAAATGACCTCACCTAAAAAAATGTCAAATTCTAGATTGAGATCAGTGTAAGAATGTTGGGAGTTCCTCAATAATTTAACATAAGGCTATGAGTTTTTATCTATTATTGTTTGTAATATATAATTGTCGGGACGAGGGAGAAGGGCAGGGGGTAGGTATTTAGTATAATACCAATCAAAATCCAGCCAAGTTTTTCTTGGCAGCTGACAAAGTGATTCTGTAATTTATATAAAAATGCAAAGGACCGAGAATAACCGAAACAACCTCGAGGAAAACAGAACAAACCTGCAGGACCTGTAGTACCAGGTATCGGGACTTACTGTCAAATGAAAGCTATCGGTCTACAGTGGAATGACTAAGGAGAACGTGGGTATTTGTAGCATGTGACACTACAGAGGAGTGGTTCTCCACCTCCGGTGTGTGTCAGAACCGCTTAGAGGCTGATTAAACTGATTGCTGGGTTCCACCTGTCTGTCTACACAGAACATAGCTAACACTTCCCTGCTTAGCTGCCTTTACCAAGTTAAGGATGTCTGTGATCACCTCTTGAATGTTCTCTCCTCTCTCATATCAGCAAGAGGGAATGAAAGAGGCTAAAGAGGCCCGGTTTCTGGCTATTAGGACAAACCCAAGGATATCTCTTATATCAGGTCAGCCCTGCACCCCGACTTTGCTGAGACACTTACGAGCATTTCCTCACAAAACCCTGACAATACAATCAGGGCATAATTATGGCAGCCATCCTTATCACCATTTTATAGAGGAGGAACTGACCATTGGCTGGATTAACTGCAATGCTCTAAAATTAGACAGTGGTGCTGGTTGCACAAGCAATGTACTAAAGCCCAGGAGTACACTATTTTTCAAAAATTAATTTATTTTTGAGTCAGGGTCTCTGTCACCCAGGTTGGAATACAGTGGCACAATCATTGTTCACTCCAGCATTGACCTCCTGGGCTCGTGATCCTCCCACCTCAGCCTCCCAAGTAGCTGGCAGTATAGGTGAACATCATCATTAGTGGCTAATTTTATTTTTAGTTTTTATACAGACAAGATCTTTGCTATGTTACCCAGGCTGGTCTCGAACTCCTCGTCTCAAGCAATTCTCCTGCCCTGGCCTCTCGAACTGCTGGGATTACAGTTGTAAGCCACAGCACCCAGCCAATTCTACAATTTTAGATTCCCATCATGCCTCCTGAAGTTTCATGTTAATAAGAGATTCCACTTCACTTCTAGGGCCAAAATACTAGTGAACTGTTCATATGATGGTTTCTGAATGACATGTGACAGCTTTTCAGCACCTATATTATTTCATCCTGGGTTTCAGAGCATCATGAGAAACGCTTATCAACACCAAAGATACCATAATCTCTATCCCCAATCTACTTTGATGGTTACTGTTTCAACATGAACAACCACAGATGCAACCATTTCGATTTCTAATTTATTATTAAATTACATACCAAAGCTTCTTCTATACAGTCAGAAAATGCACATTTAGATGAGAACAAAAATTAAGTACAAATACAATAAAATTGGTTCCAAGAAGCTATTTTAAAAGCAAAAACTTACAAAGTGCATTTGGAAAATTATAGGTTTTAAAAATCTGTATTGGCATTTTTTCACAAGGAAACATCTTCTATCATAGGAAAGTCTGAATGGAATTGATTTCCCTCCTCCCTTAAGAGCTAACAGGGTGGGAATGGATGCAAATACTTTGATCCTGAAGTGAGCTCTTAGGTACAGAGAAAATGAGAAAGATCCTTTAGGACTACATGGCTCAGCTTTAAGCTTCTTACCCACTAAACTCCTCCAAATTCACTTGTTCCTCCCTCATTTTCTTTTTGCCCACAAAACTTAAAGAGTATGTAAATTTATAAAGGAATAAACAAGATTAGTTTATTAAGACCATAATGGAAAGTTCTGCATCTTTTTGGAGACCAAAAATAACCCTTAACCTAACAGGAGAGTGGAACATGACGATTGTAACTCTCTGAGCAGAATCCATTTGTTCTTTAGTTACATTTGCCAGGGTAACACTAGACACGGCCAGTTATCCCCAACAACTTAATCTTGCAAGTTAGAAAACTCAATTCATTTCCAAAAATCATATCTGACAAACAATCAAACATGAGGTATTAGAAACCAAAAGGCTAGTCCAATTCTTTTAGAGTCATTTCCATCAGGTTGAGATCATTTACAGTGAAACAGAAAATTAATAGTGGAATGCAAACCCACGGTGCCTGAATTCCATAGAACTCAAGAGCCACTGCATCAAAAGGCTCAGTAAGTATCTTTCTATTCAGATGTATTCACATCCAGGATGAAAGAGCTCAAGTAAGTATTATTTGGCTCCAGGTGTAAGGACTGCCCTCACGGCGTCTCCTCTCATCACCTGTCTCCATTCTCAGGTGTTTTCTTCCATTCCTGATCTGAGTACCAGGCAGTATGGAAAAAGGCAGGAGAATCATGGAGAAGGAAAACCTCTTTCTAACACAAGAGAAAGAAAAGGTGAGCAGTGCAGGTTACAGGGAGTCCCCCAGCATCATTAATAGGAATTGATAAGAATGTAGAGATTGCCAGAACAGATATGCTAAAGCACTTGGATCTAAGTTTGAATTTGAATAATGAATTTATTAAACATTTTTACTAAAGTCATCAGTACACAGTAAAACAAAACATCAGAAATACATCTTCTGGAATTTCCTGCCCTTTTTGTTGCCATGTTTTTTTTTTTTTTTTTGAAATGGGGTCTCACTCTGTCACCCAGGCTGCAGTGCAATGGCATGATCACGGCTCACCACAGGCTTGAACTCCTGGGCTCAGGCGATCCTCCAGCCTCAGCCTCAGTAGCTGTGAGCTAGGACCACAGGCACTCACCACCACACCAGGCTAATCTTTTTATTTTTTTTGTAGAGACAGAGTCTTGCTACATTGCCCAGGCTGGTCTCAAACTCCTGGCCTCAAACGATCTGCCAGTCTTGGCCTCCCAAAGTGTTGAGATTATAGGTATGAGCCACTGCACCAGCCCTATTGTTATGGTTTTTCATATTTTTTCAGTGAAATGAAAAGTTTTGAGTTGTTACTTAAAAGAACCAAAAAGGAAAGATTTGTAATCAGGTAATAGTTGAGGGGGCATAACTTCCCCTAAGAGGCAACATTTGGAGCCAGAGGCAGAAATTCCTTCTGACCTCCTGGCTATGACTAGCATTAACAAGTAACTAACTGTTAGTCTCCAAATCTGTCAACTGGTCCACAAGGAGGACAGCAAAAAAGGAGAGAGCCAAGGTGGTTAAACAAAAAAGTTAAATGACATGGAGCTAAAGAGCTCAAATCCCTACATGGGATCCACACGGAGCCCCTTCCTGTGAGCACACACCTCTACTCCCTTGCTGGAGGTTTCTTTCTGCAAAGGAATCCTAAGTGGAAAAAGCACTGGCCTAGCTGTCTCCATGTGGCCCTGGGTCACCTCACTACGGGCTGCAGCACGGGCAGGTTAGTCAGACCTATCTGACGCCAACATCTACAACAAGCCTTCTAACTTCCTTGGAAGAACTGGTTTCTTTATTTTCATAAAGAAAATAACCAACATAATTCCACTACTTCACATAAGCAAAACCCTAATGGAAAGGCCCATCAGCCATCAACATGGTATGTTGGCTTGGCTGCAGTGAGCTAGACTAGCTTGCGTCCTGGTTTATTCTCACACAATCGGCTTTAGTGAATGCACCAAAGAATCAGACCAGTAAAAAGGACTGGTAGTATAATTAAATAAATAACTTTATTTATGATACTTCAGATTTTATAAATGCCAACTACATAGCAAGCAAAGTCCCATAAATTCTAACCGAGACACAACCACCAATCAAGGCCCTTTGAAAAATCAAAGATAATAAAGTGTCAGGGGAGAAAAGCTTTTGTTCTCCCAACAGAGAATTTAATCAATAAACTTTCCTCCCTGATCCTTTAAGGTTCACAATGGGAAAACGTGACTTTCTTTTAAGGGTACCCTGAATCAATGAACAATCAACCCATATTTAGAAAAATAAACCCCATAGTTAAGAAAAATATATCAAATGCCCTTCACACCCATAATGTAACAAAACTTTGACACCAGAATGAAAAACCTCTCAGTCTCTGTACCAAACCAGGTGTTAGCCCACCATTAGCAAGTTCACCTGAATAACAGCATCTATACACCATGATGCAGCTGAGAACTATATGCTGCTATCCTTTTATTCCCTGTGGCTCGGACTGAAGCCAATACTATAAATACCACAGTGAATTCCAATGGTGAAAAGCAGCAGTGCAGATGTTGGAAATCTACAAACCAGGTTCAGTAAGACAAGTCATGAATTTATAGAAACTAAGAAATGGTTAACTCAAAAGAATTCTGGTGGCTGGTTTAAAATCTGTCACTGTCCACGATGGTAACAGAAGACAGGTGCAGAGAGAGGCAGATTCTGCCACATGCACCCTGAACAGTGAAACCATTCTCTGGATGTTTGGAAATGGTAAACAGATTTGGAATGAACAGATTTTCACAGAACACAGAATTCCTGGTACATCAGGCAGTAGTCCTTAAACTTTTGCCCATACATTGCGGAGCATTTACAAATGGAATTCTCTGAACAGTGAGCCCTCAACACCTTTTTCTATGTGGCTTTGAACAGATCACATTAGAAATGGAGCAGTCCCTTTCCTCAGTTCCCAGTGTCAATCCTGGTCTGATGAGAACAGTGGGGACAATGACAGACCCTGGTGATTGTTTTCTTCTATCACAGTGGAACTGAGATTTCGCCTTCTTTCAGTGGAAAACATCAATCCAAAGGAAAAGTGTTAAAAAAAAAAAAAAAAAAAAAGGAAACAGTGACTGGTGCCTTAAATAAAAGACTGTCATTCTTGATGTTTTTCCAGCAATACAGTTAACCCCACTGTACTCGTAATTTAAAAGAAAAAAAGAGACAGTTTTATAGTGTTCTCCATTTCAGACAACCTCAAACATGCTGAAGTTGGTCCACCAGCATCTCAAACAATCTATGAAAAACAGAATTTTCCTCAAATATCAACAGAGTTCAGGAGACAGAGTAGAAATCTATAGCACAGATTATCAAGAAAGAACTTGTGATTTCTCATCATGAGTGTAAAATAAGAGGACAAGAATTATTTTTATTCACAATCCAATCTGGTGGGTAAAAGAAAAACAGTCTTTGGATGTAGAAAACCTGGTTTTCTGAAGAGCCCAGCTGTGAGACCTGGCTTGTCATCAGGTTTCAACACTATCAAGGAAACAAAGAAAACTCTGTTTTTGATTGGTTTACTTGCCTCCTGGGGAGACAAAAGCAACTGAAAACCTTTTTGTTTTTTTAATTAAAAACAGAAAAATACGTTAGAAAAGACAGCACAGAAAAACCGTGGCTTCAGCTCAACCTGACCATGTCACAGAGTTCAGCACTGTCAGTCTCGCATTCATCCTGTCGGTCAGGCTAATTATCAAGACAGTCAACTTCTCGCTCTGAAGTTTCCTTATTCCAGACCAGGGCGTGAAAGTGGTGGTGGTCAGAGTCCCTACAGATGTCCCATCAGTGGAACGCATACAGGAGCAACAGGATGGTACAGACCCCAATAACACCCCCCAGGATGAGAGAGTCCCGCCGCTTCCTCAGGTTGATCCTCTGGATCAGGTTGTTCACAGCAGGAAAACGATCTTTGGGAAATCTTTATTAAGGTCATATTTGGAAGAAGCCTCTCTGGTGAAAAGTCGCAGGAATCACAAAAATAGAGATTAGTGGTGTTCAGAAACGGTGAGTGATAGGAAGACAGGGGGGAAGAAACTCACACCAGGGGAGTCTTTAGCAGATGCACTTGCACAAACCAGGACTGCCCTGTGGCTCGAGGCCCCTAACAAATACCAATCTCCCAGTCTTGTGTGTAACACAAATAAGAATAATGAAAAGAAAGAACAGAAAGGGAGAGGGAAAAGAAAATGATGACGACTGCTCCCATGCACTGAGGGCTTACTGCCAGGCTTCAGGCCAGGGTCGGAGCCCGCATGGCCAGGAATGAACTCTGGCAGAGAGGCACAGGCACAGCCAGCTACCATCACCATCGCCACCCGTTTCCCTCCCTTTCCTTATTTTCCTTCTCTTTCTCTCTCTCTCTTTTCCTCTTCTCTCAAGAGACTGCAGAGTTCTGCCTGAGAGCTCGAAAAAATACCTGATCCTTTCCTGCCTTGGAGTCAGGCAATTCATGGGAACCAACTCTAGGGTCTGTATAATTGGGCACTGGTGAATTATTAAAATTTTGAAAGTTACTTTGCAGCAGAAGGCAGGATACACAGGAGGAAAGTGAACTAAACTGCTGTAGCTGTCCTATTTGGGGACATAAAAATATTTTAAAATTTTTGATTTTTGGGGTTTTATAGTAGTCACGTCTGTATTTTACCTAGCATTTCCAGATATCTTTACGTCTTACTTGTTTTATGCTATAGACCAAAGTGCCTGTGTGGTTTCGTGTTTCTGGCAATGGTTTCTGACAATATACCTGCAGGAACATCCTCTTTGTTAACAGAAGCATTATAGCAAGTTCAGGAAAAACAACCACAAAAACCACCTGGGGGTTCCGGAGAGCTGGAACCACCCCTGCTCCTTGTGGGTCCACCCTGCATTTTCCTGTAGTGAATACTCTCACCAGAGCCTAGACAGATTTGTATACTTGTATATTCTACACAGTGTGTAAGTAGAACCGTGTGTTCTTCTAATTCTGAATTTCCCTTTATGTCTAGAATGGAGCTTTATATATGTAGCCATTAGTGTGTTTTTAAATTTCTCAATAAAAAAAAAAAAGTACAATTTGCAGAAACAGTTTTTAAAATGTAGAACAGGAAGCATGTACTGAAGTAATGGTAAAAAACTTCTACTGCCGGGCGCGGTGGCTCAAGCCTGTAATCCCAGCACTTTGGGAGGCCGAGGCGGGTGGATCACCAGGTCAAGAGATCAAGACCGTCCTGGTCAATATGGTGAAACCCCGTCTCTACTAAAAATACAAAAAAAAGTAGCTGGGCATGGTGGCACATGCCTGTAATCCGAGCTACTCAGGAGGCTGAGGCAGGAGAATTGCCTGAACCCAGGAGGCGGAGGTTGCGGTGAGCCGAGATCGCGCCATTGCACTCCAGCCTGGGTAACAAGAGCGAAACTCCGTCTCAAAAAAAAAAAAAAAAAAAAAAAAAAAAAAAAAAACTTCTACAAAGTAAAATCTCATATAGAGAAAATGCTTAATATTTTCTTGCTTGATAAAAGGATAACAAATCCACTGAAATGCAATTATTTGGCATCAGGAAACCCTCTTTCTCAGTCTATAATAATTGAGTTCAGTCCATGAAACAGGGCAGGGCTGACCTCTTCCTCGGCCATACATACAAACCCAGGATTTGCCAGTAAAAATATTCTCTCCCCTTGGCCACTGACTGAGTCAGGAATGGGTAGTGACTCATGCTGGGCAACCACAGCTCTCTTGGGAACAGTTGTGACAACTGTTAGAAGACACCCTTTCTCCGAGGGAATTCTTTAGCCCCTATTACAGCCATCTTCATCACCCTCGGAGAAGGGCTGCCTGGAGAAAGAGGCTAACAGAGGAAAGCTGAGATAAGTGACCGGGAAAGAAAGGGAACGGAGAGAGGAAAGGGAGATTCTTGCGGATAAAATCTCAGCTTCTGAATCCAGCCATGCCTTAAGCCAAATTCCACCCCTGAATTCTACAGTTACATAAACAAATTGAGTCCTTCCTTTCCTCCCTTAAGTCAGTCTTAGGTTACTGTGACTAATTCTCTTTGGGGCCCTGACTAACCCACACCCATTTTGTTTGATTTTCTTTTCTTTTTTTTTTTTTTTTTTGAGACGGAGTTTCACTCTTGTTACCCAGGCTGGAGTGCAATGGCGCAACCTCAGCTCACCGCAACATCCGCCTCCTGGGTTCAGGCAATTCTCCTGCCTCAGCCTCCTGAGTGGCTGGGATTATAGGCACGTGCCACCATGCCCAGCTAATTTTTTGTATTTTTAGTAGACAGAGGGTTTCACCATGTTGACCAGGATGGTCTCGATCTCTTGACCTCATGATCCACCTGCCTCAGTCTCCCAAAGTGCTGGGATTACAGGCTTGAGCCACCGCACCCGGCTCTTTTTTTATTTGAACACACATTCTTTTGGAATAATTGTAAATTTCTTGAGTGACTAATTTGTATGAGGCACTTTGCTAGGTTGCAGTATACTGCTTCGCCTTAAGAGAATTTAGGGTTGGGCTGGGCAGGGTGGCTCACACCTGTAATCCTAGTACTTTGGGAGGCCAAGGCTGAAGGATTGCTTGAGATTTGGAGTTCAAGACCTGCCTGGTCAACATGGTGAAACCCTGTCTCTACAAAATATACAAAAATTAGCCAGGCGTGGTGGCACATGTCTGTAGTCCCAGCTACTCGGAAGGCTGAGGCGGGAGGATTGCATGAACCCCGGAGTTTGGAGGTTGCAGTGAGCTGAGATTGTGCCATTGTACTCCAGCCTGGGTGGGTAACAGGGTGAGACTGTCTTAAAAAAAAAAAAAAGAGAGCGGCTGGGGCACAGTGGTGCACGCCCGTAATCTCAGCACTTTGGGTGGCCGAGGTGGGCAGAACACAAAGTCAGGAGTTCGAGACCAGCCTGACAAATAGTCCCAGCTACTGGGGAGGCTGAGGCAGAAGAATTGCTTGAACCCAGAAGACAGAGGTTGTAGTGAGCTGAGATTGCACCACTGCACTCCAGCCTGGGTGATAGAGTGATACTCGGTCTCAAAAAACAAAACAAAACAAAAAAAGTATACATGCAAAAAAAAAAAAAGAGAGAGAGAGACAGAGAGAACTTAGAGAAGTGTACAGAGTAGTAGAGAAGAGGTCACGAAGAAGAGTGGTGGTAAGTTCTAATGAACAACTGAAAAAGGCTTCAGTGTTTCACATCACCCGTTATTTGACTCCCTCTTCTATTTTAAAGTTTCAAAAGTTTCACTAAATATAAACTCTTGTATTCGCTAACTAGCTTTTGTTCTGGCTGGCAATTGAGTTGATAATTTAGTAAAATGAGATAATGTATATAACAGCACTCTGTTATTTTATAGCCCTATATAACATGTGATTTTGGACGTGCAGTTTTATACTCAGGGTGACAAGGCAAGAACAGAATTCACAACAGCCTGGAGAATAACAGCACACATCAGGATAGTCTTTTCCTCAGGCAAAGACACATCAAACTAAAAGTGACCTTAACTTATCTAGGATGACAAGATACTCAATTTTGAAAATTCTAAGTCCCTCCCTATTTGGCAGCTGGGGAGGAAAGCTTTTTTGCCTAGAAGGCTTGTCTTTTCAGAGGTTCAGTGAATCAAATGACTCAGAGTGCCAGGCTTTTCTGGTTCCCTAGTGAGTTTCTAGGAAGTATTAATAATCCTAATTTAAATCAGAAAATTGAAACGTTTTAAAGTAGAGGTTACAACAAAGTGGAGAATGTATCCCAGAATTCAACCTGTGCATAGAGTCACAAACTCTATCAGCAGCTAGAGGTCATCCGCACGGATGGCTTCTCCTTCCTTCCCCTTCCGAACACCTGCTACTGACTTACTCTCTAAATGGGAAACATAAAAAAGAAAAGGCATACGATTTATCAGGTTTAGGTAAGAATAATGTATACTACGGAGTTTTAACATGAATTTAAAAGCTTTCTAAAATATAAAAGAATTTGATGAATAATTTTTAAATTCACATTTATAATTTTTTTTCCTAAATCTAGTACTATGAAACTTTTGAGGTGTGTCTTTAGGAACGGTACTAAATAGCATAAACTTTCACAAAGCAGGAATGCACAATATATTCATATTATGCAACTACTGATGGCCTCTACTGCTACTGATGTTGGCAACCTGCCCCCTATAAAAGCACACACAGACAATTCTCCCCTCTACCCTCATAACAGACAGCAAACGTTCAAAAAGGATACTGGCCAAAGTGTTCATTTTGCTGTGAATTGACTTTAACATTCCTCTCTGTGAAGTCATATTTTCTTTTGTTGCCATAGCAATGCTTCAAGGGGAAAAAGAGATGACAAATCAGCATTTAGGACGAGCCTGCCCAGATCCATCGTCCCCTTAACAGTCAAAGAAAACTGTAGTGAGCAATATCATCTTAGAAAGCACTGTGCCAGAAAATAAGGGGGAAAAAAAAATCACTTCCCAAGCCACTATTTTCCCACTGTGCTTTTTCCAAATGACTGCACTGTTCTCTGATATCTTTTTATACAAGGCAGTAAGCCACTTCCTATGTTTGCTTCAAAATAACAAACAAAAATAAGGTATAAACAGAAACATCACATATTACAAAAACTTCTTAAAATAGTTTAAAAAGAGGCTAGCTACTAAAATATCCTTAATCGAGAAAAACTGTTGAAAGGGAATTATAATTATAAAAATAGGAAAGAAATGTAAAATGTCATAAAATATGCATATACGACCACCCCTTAATTTATGAAAAGATTATGTTCCAAAATTGTACTTGAGAACAAACATTATGCAACATTATGCTAGATTTCCATGATGGCTGACAAAGGTCATTAAACATGGCTAAGAGGGCTGGGTGTGGTGGCTCACGTCTGTAATCCCAGCACTTTGGGAGGCCAAGGTGAGAGGATCACTAGAGCCCAAAAGTTTGAGACCATCCTGGGCGACGTGGTGAAATCCCATCTCTACCAAAATACAAAAATTAGATAGTGGTGTGTGCCTGTGATCCCAGCTACTCAGGAGGTTGAGGTAAGAGGATCAATTGAGCCCAGAAGGGGGAGGCTACAGAGAGCTGTGATCACACCACTGCACTCTAGCCTGAATAACAGGGTGAGACCCTGTCTCAAAGAAAATGAAAAAAAGAGAGAGTAAAGACTAAGGGAGAGGCGAAAAAGTCACTTTTTGTAGGCTACAATGTCTTCCATGTGACTACCTTGATGTCCCATTTAAAAGACCTCTGAGTTAATATCCTTTTTTTTTTTGAGATAGGGTTCCACTCTGTTGCCAAGGCTGGAGAGCAGTGGTGTGATCATGGCTACTGCAGCCTTGACCTCCTGGGCTTAAGCAATCCTCCCACCTCAGCCTCCTGAGTAGCTGGGACTATAGGGATGTGCCATCATGCCTGGCTAATTTTTTTTTTTTTTTAATTTTTAAATTATCTGTAGAGATGGGGTCTCCCTATGTTGCCCAGGCTGGTCTCAAACTCCTGGGCTCAAGCTATCCTCCTGCCTCCACCTCCCATAGTGCTGGAGTTATAGGTGTGAGCCACCAAGTCTGGCTCTAAGTTCATATCTTTTTGCTATCGCTTCTAGGCTTACTCATTTCCCGTAGTCTTATCTTTCTGGACATTAGAGTCCTAGAGGGCACGGTCAGTATCCACTTTGATATGTAACACACAGGAGTGCTTTGCATATTGACATTATAAAGAGGAACAGGAAATGAAATGCTGTTGAGCAATTCTGAAATATTATTTGACACAAATTTTATATTCTTCATAAGAAATCATACCTAGCTTTATACTCAGTGAAACTTTTCTTGTAATACCTATCATATTTTGAAACAAGGGAAAATACTGAAATGAAAGATCTTCTAATAACATGTTTTTTAACTAGCAAAGTAACAGTAATAATTCAATGGTTCTCGATTGTTCCTATCCTATGAGGTACCCCAAGTTTTTATGCTCATATTACCAGCCCTTAACTGGCCAGTTCTGAAGTGAAAGCTTAATTAAGGCAGCCTGGCCCTAGAAAACCAGGCAGAAAAAAAGGAAAATAAAGAAAAAAAGAAAAAGGATTATTAGGAAACTTTAAGTAAAGAATTCCTGGCAAAATGTCATCAGATCTCATGTGCTGATGAAAAGGAAAAAGTCACAAGAAAGATACTTCAGTCAACCTCAGGCAATTCTGTGCAAACTTTCTTCAGATGGAAGATTCGGCACATACAATTTAAACAAAAATTCAAGACACAATAATGGCTTATTGTTATAAAAGACTATAATGTATTAAGATTATTAATGATGGAAAAAATTCCAATTCATTGAATAAAGACTCCATGAAGCCATACAAAATAAACAGATATTTAGGAAATGAACACTGAAATATTTAGGAGTAAAGAGGCATCAACCTATGTCACACTTTATAGAAGCTGGATAAAGGGTGGTAAAGGGTATATAGGACTTCTTTTCACTACTGAAATTTTTCTGAAACCTCAAATGATATCAAAATAAAAAGTTAAAAAAGGATTGGTATTAATAATATGGCTACATTACAGATTACCTAGTATTAGACCAGGCATTTTCCTCACATTATCTTTAGCAGTCTTACAGGTAGATATTATCATCAATACTATGTTTTAAACAGATAAGAAAATGAAGACTCCAAGAAGTTAAAGTAAATTATCTAAAGAACAGAGATCTAATAAATAGCACAGCCAGGTTCCAAACCAAGTCAGACTTGAAATTTTGTATTCTTTCTACAATGTGGTAAATATAGCAGTGGTTTAGATGGAGCTCTGTTTTCAGAGTTAGACTCAGACTGGAGGATCTGAATCCTTAATGCTATTTACTACTCATGTGACCATGGGCCAATTACTTAATTTCTTTTTTGTTTTGGAGATAGTTCTGAATGATTCGTGTCCATCTAATAGGTTATTGAGAAAATTAAATAAAATAATGCATGCAAAGTACTTTTAGCAGAGGACCAACGTCCATGATAAGAATAAAAATGTGGCTGGGCGAGGTGGCTCACACCTGTAATCCCAGCACTTTGGGAGGCCAAGGTGGGTGGATCACCTGAGGTCAGGAGTTCAAGACCAGCCTGGCCAACGTGGTGAAACCCCATCACTACTAAAAATACAAAAAATTAGCCAGGCGTGGTAGCACGCGCCTGTAATCCCAGCTACTCAGGAGGCTGAAGCAGGTGAATCGCTTGAACCCAGGAGGTGGAGGTTGCAGTGAGCCAAGATCGTGCAACCGCATTCCAGCCTGGGCAACAAGAGTGAGACTCCGTCCCCTCTACAAAAAAAACAAAAAAAACGAATACAAATGTTTGTTATTGTCATGTACTTTGATTTACCTTTCCTGAAAAACAATGCTTTATACATTGGTGAATTCTAGAGTACAGAGACTATACTTAGGTAATTTGCTTTTTTACTATCATAATATAGATATTTTAAAATTCATCAAACCTTGAAAGCTAAGCAGTTCAAAACAACAAATAAATATCCCTTAACTTAAGTAAGAAACTAGTTCAGTGTGATTACAGATACTATGAACTATTACTGCAGTAGATATTCTGCAGGGCTGTAACAGAAAGTCTATATGAATGACATAAAATTATTTATCAAATTACGCTTAAAATAATTTTCCCTTAAAAAGTGAGACTAAAAAGACTGAGGATGAAAATATTAAGTAAAAATTAATTGGAAAAATTAACCTAAGTAAAACATCTTAATTAAAGTAACTATAGAAATATAATTTGGGTATCAAATATCTCTTATAAGGGAAGGACACAGTAAAAACTTTATCTTTAATGAGGATAAGCAAACCTTAACTCAGTTATATAGGGTTAAACCTGATCTGTTCACTAAAATGATTTTTCTTTAATTCTAAAAGAGCTGTAACACTTCATTAAATTTACATGAAAACAAACAAACAAAAACCAACAAAGCGAAACAAAATCTTATTCCTACCTTATTGTCTCTTCTATCAGACGATCTGAGCTGCAAAGAAAAAGAAAATTTAAATTCCAGATTTACTAAATGCACATTTAAAACCTGTATTTAATTTTTCTACATCTATAATTTTTAGCCATTTATGTATACAGAATCTCTAGCTTTTTGAAAGCATATGGAGAAAATTCTGGACTCTAAAATTTTATTTTTATTTTTGGACAGAGTCTCACTCTGTGACCCAGGCCGGAGTGCAGTGGTGCAATCTCAGCTCATTGCAACCTCCGCTTCCTGGGTTCAAGCAATTTTCCTGCCTTAGCCTTCCAAATAGCTGGGATAACAGGTACCCAACACTATGCCTGGCTAATTTTTATATTTTTAGTAGAGATGGGGTTTCACAATGTTGGCCAGCCTAGTCTCAAACTCCTGACCTCAGGTGATCCACTCACCTTGGCCTCTCAAAGTGCTGAGATTACAGATGTGAGCTACCACGGCGGGTCTGGACTTTGAAATAAATTTAATTCATTCATATGCAATATATATATAATTTCCATCTTATAACCAGGCATGGTATCTCACGCTGGTAATCCCAGCACTTTGGGAGGCCAACAGAGGCCAGGAGTTCTAGACCAGCATGCCCAACATGGCAAAACCCCGCCTCTACCAAAAATACAAAAATTAGCTGGGTATGTTAATATGTGCCTGTAGTCCCAGCTACTCGGTAGGCTGAGACACGGGAATTGTTTGAACCTGGGGGGGTTGCAGTGAGTCAAGGTCATTGTGCCACTGCACTCTAGCCCGGGCCATAGAGCAAAACCCCAAACAAATAATTTCTACCTTACTTTTGTTAGCTTAAATCTATTTTTTCCACGGAGATACCTGATAATTAAAGTTGGAACAAACTAGTTTTGTGCCAAAAGCCTTAATGAAGATAAAATAAATGAAATACACTATTAAATTAAGTGCAAAAGAGCAATCTATTAATTTGCTAATTTTGTTAAGAATAAAATTCTATGCCAGGTGCGGTGGCTCATGCCTGTAATCCCAGCACTTTGGGAGGCTGAGGCGGGTAGATCACAAGGTCAAGAGATCGAGACCATCCTGGTCAACATGGTAAAACCCCGTCTCTACTAAAAATACAAAAATTAGCTGGGCATGGTGGCGCGTCCTTGTAGTCCCAGCTACTCAGGAGGCTGAGGAAGGAGAATTGCTTAAACCCAGGAGGCGGAGGTTGCGGTGAGCTGAGATCGCGCCATTGCACTCCAGCCTGGGTAACAAGAGCGAAATTCTGTCTCAAAAAAAAAAGAATAAAATTCTATGAGATTGATTCTATAATTCTCTTCATTTAGAAAAACCTTGGGCCTGGAGAGCAGATTTCTCTGTAGCAAATGATGTCGTTTGGTAGCATTTTGCCCCCAGCAAATTCTTTCAAAATTGGAGGAGTCAACCATCTCAAACCCCTTTGCTGGTTTATCAACTAAGTTTATACACTGTTCTGAATCCTTTGTCATTTCAACAATGTTTACACAGTCTTCGCCAGCAGAATCCATCTAAAGAAACCACTTTCTTTGCTATCTATTAAAATCAACTCCTCTCCTGTTCACCTTTTATCATGTGATAACTATTGTTAATTCAGTCACGAGATAAGACTGCAATCCAGTCACATCTTTCAGGCTCTGTTTTCTAACTCTTTTCTTTTCTTTTTAAGACAGAGCCTTGCTCTGTTGCCCTGGCTGGAGTGAAATGGAGTAATCTCGGCTCACTGCGCCTTTTCCTCCTGGGTTCAAGTGATTTTCCTGCCTTAACTTCCCAAGTAGCAGGGATTACAGGTACACACCACCACATCCATCTAATTTTTTTATTTTTAGTAGAGATGAAGTTTCACTGTGTTGGCCAGGCTGGTCTTGAACTCCTGACTTCAGGTGATCCACTCCCCTTAGACTTCCTAAGCACTGGGATTACAGGGATTACACACATGAGCCACTGCGTGCAGCTCAGGCTCCACTTCTAATTCTAGTTCTCTTGCTAGTTCTGCCACATCTGCAGTTACTTTCTCCACTGAAGGCCTGAACCCCTCAAAGTCATCCAAGACGGTTGAAATCAGTTTCTTCCAAATTCCTGTTAATGTTCATATTCTGACCTCCTCATGAATGTTCTTAATGGCATCTAGAATGGTGACTCCTTTCCACATCGTTTTCAATTTGCTTTGCACGGATCCATCAGAAGAATCACTATCTATGGCAACTTTCGTGTTACAAAATGTATTTCTTAAATAACAAGACTTGAAAGTCAAAAATGACTCCTTGAACCACAGGCTTCAGAATGACTGCTGTGTCAGCGGGCGTGAAAACAACATTCCTTTCCTTGTACATCTCCACCACAGGTGAACTGTCACAGAGTAGTAATATTTTGAAATAATTCTTTTTTTTCTGAGCAGATCTCCACTTAAAATCGGCTTAAACTATTCAGTAAACCATGCTGCAAACAGATGTGCTGTCTTCCAGGCTTTGTTGTTCGACGTACAGAGCACAGGCAGAGTAGACTGAGCATCATTATTAAGGGCTCTAGCATTTCTGGAAGGGTAAATAAATAATGGCTTCAATTTAAAGTCACCAGTTCTACTACCCCTAAGAAGTGAATCCGCTGTCCTTTGAAGCTTTGAAGCCAGGCAGTAACTTCTCATCTCTAGGAGGAAAGTCCTAAATCACATCTTCTTCCACCAAAAAACTGTTTCTTCTACATTTAACATCTGTTGCTTGGTGGAGCCAGCTTCATCAACGATCTTAGTTTGATCTTCTGGATAACTTGCTGCAGCTTCTAAATTAGCACTTGCTGCTTCAGCCTTGCCCTTTTATATTATGGAGATGACTTCTTCCTTAAACTCCATCAACCAACTTGTTAGCTTCAAACTTTTCTTCAGCAGCTTCGTCATCTCTCTCAGCCTTCATAAAACTGAAGTGAGCTAGGGCCTTGCTCTTGATTAGGTTTTGCTTTAAGGGAATGTTGTGGGTGATTTGATCTTCTAACCAGACTATTAAAACTTTCTCCGTATCAGCAATAGGCTGTTTTGCTTTCTTATCATTTGTGTATTCACTGGAGTAGCACTTTTAATTTCCTTCAAGAACTTTTCCTTTGTTTTCACAACTTGGCTAACTGGCACAAGAGACCTAGCTTTCAGCTTAGGTCGACTTTCGGTAAAGGTAGTCATTTCTGTCTTTTGATTTAAAGCGAGAGTTGTGTAACTCTTTCTTTCACTTGAACACTTATAGGCCACTGAAAGCTTATTAATTAGCCTAACTTCAATACTGTTGTGTGTCAGGTAATAGAGAGGCCTGTGAAGGAGTGAGGTGGGAATGGATGGTGAATGGCACAGTCAGAACACACACAACTGGCAGGGCGCAGTGGCTCATGTCTGTAATCCCATCACTTTGGGAGGCTGAGGTGAGAGAATCGCTTGAGCCCAGAAGGTGGAGGTTGCAGTGAGCTGAGATCATGCCACTGCACTCCAGCCTGGGGGCAATAGAGAAAGACCCTGTCTCAAAACAAAAGAAAAAAATCCCTACACATACACAACATTTATTAAGTTCACCCTCTTACATCAGTGAGGCTGTAAACAATTACAATAGTAACATCAAATATCACTGATCACCATAACAAATATAATAATGAAAACATCTAAAACACTGTTACCAAAATGTAACACAGAGACACAAAGTCAGCATATGATGTTAGAAAAATGGCACCGCAAGACTTGTTTGACGCAGGGTTCCCATAAACCTTCAGTTTGTAAGCAATAATATCTGCAACAAGCAATAATATCTGCAATGTGCAATAAAGCAAAACACAATACAACTTCATAGGCCAGTATGTGAGATTTCTCTGTATTATTTCTTTTTTCTTTGTAGAGATGATGTTTCACTGTCACCCAGGCTGGTGGGCAGTGGCACCATCACAGCTCACTGCATCTTTGAACTCCTGGGCTTCCAGGGATCCTCCGGCCTCAGCCCCCCAAGTAACTGGAATCACAAGCATGAGCCACCACACCCGACCTCTCTCTATTTCTTACAACTGCATGCAAACCTATAATTAAAACAAGTTAAACATTTATAAAGTGATCAGCATACCAAATGACAATAACAAAAACCCAATTCCAATCTAGACTGACTATAAAGCTACATACCTTAAGTAGTACACAACTGTGAAGCAGCATTTAGAAAAACAGATAACCGGTCTATAGAAATACATTTCTAACTAAATAAACTCAATGCATCAGCCTAGAAAGAAACGTATAATTACAAAGCCAAGCATTTCACATAAATCTTCAGAGTCAGCCAGGTACACTTCATCATTTCCATTATCTGCTTTCTATAAAATCTGATGATATAATAGCATTTCTCTTGATCTGTTCTCAACAGGTCAGAACTAAACTAGTGAATAAACTAGCCTAACTACCATAGTTAGAAAATAAACTCATTATGATTTGTACTCAGTGTTCCTGAGGAACTGGAGTTGAAATGGATGATGAGGAACAACTTTCTGTGTCATTACATATAAATAAAATTCTTTGAAGTTGTTTGTGGCACACAGATAGAATCCTTGTTCTATGTAATGAGTACTCACTTTTAGTAGTCATTATGTAATGAGTACATACATTTTAGGTATGCTTTCTGAAAATGACATTTTGAGCAACTTAAATCAGATTTTACATGTAATAAACCATTTCCTATTTACATGAATCAAATAAAGGTCTTGTAAAGCAAACGTGCCCCCATTTATTTCCCACTTTCTGCACAAAACTGGATTTTCATAGGTTTTCTTATAAGGATAAATGGTCACTGAAATTGGTCACTTTATATGTTGGAGACTTACAACTATCCTCAAATTACAGTAATTTTATAGCAATACTGGAACTGCAAGTCAAAGAAAACAACGTTTGCTGGATTCACTTGAAAATGAAACCAACTGGCCAGGTGCGAAGGGTCGCACCTATAATCCCGGCACTTTGGGAGGCTAAGGTGGGTGGATCACCTGAGGTCAGAAGTTTGAGACCAGCCTGGCCAACATGGTGAAACGTTGTCTCTACTAAAAATACAAAAATTAGTTTGGCATGGTGGTAAGCGCCTGTAATCCCAGCTACTCGGGAGGCTGAGGCAGGAGAATCTTTCAGCCCGGAAGGCAGAGGTTGCAGTGAGCCTGGATCACACCACTGCATCCCAGCCTGGGCGACAGGGCAAGACTCTGTCTCAAAAAAAAAAAAGAAAGAAACAACCTAAAAAAACTGAAAATTATAATCCCAAATACTCTACCCTGTAGAGGAAGGGGTTTTTCTTCCCTTTAAGTCCCCTTACGCATTAGTTATCTTTTTTTTTAATCAAGTTTTAAAATATCCTCTAAAGCTTATTTCAAAATATACATGAGTCCGCAGGAGTCTTCCTCACAGAAGGGATCTGTAACTTACAGGAAGACAATGCTGACACTAGCTTAACCACGCATTCAGCACACCACAGTTACAGTGAGTCACACAGGAATTCCACACACATTCCCTACCCACTGTCATCCTTAGTTTCCATAGTGGCATCAACAGAGAAAAGCCAGTGATTCCTAAACGTCTTCTCAGGATTGCCCAGTCTCCAGGTCCTTACTCATTTGGCTAAGACCAGATAAAGCAAACAAACACCATTCATTAAAACGCATCCTGGACAGTGTAGACACAACAGAGTTTGTCCATAAAGATGGCCTCATCTGGTTAAAATTAAATTTAAACATATTTTCCTTTAGGGTCTAAAATATATAATCAAGTAGAATAATCCTTCTTTGGCAAGTACTTGATAACAGCCCAGAGGTGTTCTATAAAGTCATCTAGAGCCTGTAATTAAGAAACACATTTCTGTTTGTCTCAAAACCAATTTAAACTAGCTGAAAACAATGAGCTACATTTCATGACCAGTTACCGTCCTTTAGATACTAAAGCCATATCTAAATAATTCTCTTTTTAAAAAACTAATTAATTTCCCCAGAGTGCACACTGCAGTGGCACACATTTCAAGAGCAAACATGTGATTTCAAGCATATATCTTAAAACAATTTAAACTAACACAATGTAAGAACTTGGCAAAATCACTTAGATAATATCTTCCTCTTTTAAAATGGTAGGAAAGTAACTAATAAGCAAATAAGCAACTAAAAGAGAAAACAAGTTAGCAGGTACATAATAAATAATGAATGATAAGTAAAAATTTAAAAATCGATCCCTTTGTAAGCCACAATAATTGATGAGGTTTTCACGTTTACATCAAGCATTGTGGTGATGCAGTCTTTCACTTACAGTTAACCAGAGAGATCCTTAATGTCTGTGTCTTATTGCTACATTTCTTAATCTCTTCAATTATGTTAAGTGAATATAATTAAGCTGGAGTAGAATACATATATACTGTTTTAGTGCTAAGAGCTTTTTATTTTACAGAGAACATTTGGAAAATACAAGAAAACAAAGATGAAGGTAGAAACCAGCTGTAACCTTGCTTCCATTAACATTGATATGGTGGCATATTTCCTTCCAGTATGGGTAGATGAAGGAATATCTTTGCTTTTTTCATGAGTTGTTTAACACAAACAGTTTTGAAATCACAGCAAGTTACCAGGAGACAGAAAGTGAAGCGCTTGACAGACTCAGATCCTCCTCAGTTCAAGGAGAAAATAAAAAAATAAAAGCTAAGCCATTAGCAGTGAGATCCTGGAAAATCACTTTTTCCTTTTTAAAAAATGAATACAACTATTTTAGAGAAATTTTCGACATATGGAAACATTCAGTAGAAAGTACAGATTATATACTCGTTCTCCACCACCTGTGATTACCTCTGCCTTAGTGTGGCACATGTGTTACAACTGATGACCCAATACTGATACATTACTAACTAAATGCCATGCTTTAGAGTTGACTCTTTGCACTGCACAGTTGTGGGGCTTTTGTCATGGATCCATCCTTATCATACAGAATAGTTTTACTGCCCTAAGTAGCCTTTGCTTCATCTAGTCATTTTTCCTCCCTTTGCATCCTGAACCCCTGAAAATTGCTTATCTTTTTATTGTCTCTGTAGTTTTGCCTTCGTCCAGAATGTCATATAGTTTTTTTTTTTTTTTTTTTTTGAGACGGAGTTTCGCTCTTGTTGCCCAGGCTGGAGTGCAATGGTGCGATCTCGGCTTATCGCAACCTCCGCCTCCTGGGTTCAGGCAATTCTCCTGCCTCAGCCTCCTGAGTAGCTGGGATTACGGGCACACACCACCATGCCCAGCTAATGTTTTGTATTTTTAGTAGAGACGGGGTTTCACCATGTTACCAGGATGGTCTCGATCTCTTGACCTCGTGATCCACCCACCTCGGCCTCCCAAAGTGCTGGGATTACAGGCTTGAGCCACCGCACCCGGCCCAGAATGTCATATAGTTAAAATTACACAGTATGTAGCCTTCAGAGACTGGTTTCTCTTATGCATTTAAAGCTCCCCCATGTCTTTTCCAGGTTTGACAGCTCATTTCTTTGTATCCCTGAATAATAGTCCACTGCATGGATGTACCATCATTTGTTTATCCATTCACTTATTTGAAGACATCTTGATTGCTTCCAACTTTTGACAATTATGAATAAAGCTGCTATAAAACATTCATGTAGAGCTTTTTGTGTAGATGTAAATTTTCAACTCATTTAGGTAAATCATTAGGAGCATGACTGCTACAATGTATGGTAAGACCATATTTAGCTTTTTAAGAAAACTGCCAAACTGTCTTCCAATGTGGCTGTACCATTTTGCATTCCCAACAGCAATGAGCGAGAGTTCCTGTTATTCCATTTCCTTCAGTGTTCCTTTTAATGTTGTCAATGTTTTAGATTTTAGCTATTCTAATAGTTGTGCAGTGGTGTCTTAACTGTTGTTTTAATTTGCAGTACCCCAATGATACTTAATGATGTTAAGTATCTTTTCACATGCTTAATTTACTATCTGTATATCTTCTTTAAGATGTCTGTTCAGATCTTTTGTCCACTTTAAATTGTTGAATTTTAAGAGTTCTTTGTATATTTTCATACAAGACCTTGTTCCTGGATTGAAAGATTTACGGTTGTTAAGATGGCAATTCTCCCCAAATGGATCTCTAGATTCAACATAATCTTATTTAAAATTTCAGCAAGCTTTTAAACAATCTGATATTAACATTTATATGGAAATGCAAAGGACCCAGAGGAGTCAAAATAACTTTGAAGATACAGAATAAAGTTGGAAGACTTACACACTACCTAGTTTCAAAATTTATTATAAAGCTACAGTAATCAAAACAGGGTGCAACTGGCATAAGGATGGGCCTATAGGTCAATGGGACAAAAAGTTCAGAAATAAACAAGCGTCCAATTAATTCTCTACAAAGATGTTAACATCTTTAAACAGATGCAACAGAGGAAAGGAGTCTTTTCAACAAATGGTACTGAAACAATCAGATATTCATAAATAAACTCCAACCCTTATCTTACACCCCACACAAATGTGAAGTCAAAGTGGATTATAAACCTAACGTTAAAGCTAAAATCATATGACATTGGCTGTAGGTGTAAAAACAGACAAACAAAAAAGCTGAAACTAAAACTCCTAAGAGAAAAACAAAAGACAAAAATTTGTAACCCTAGGATAGCCAAGATCTCTTTTTTTTTTTTTTGAGACGGAGTTTCGCTCTTGTTACCCAGGCTGGAGTGCAATGGTGCAATCTTGGCTCACCGCAACCTCTGCCTCCTGGGTTCAGGCAATTCTCCTGCCTCAGCCTCCTGAGTAGCTGCAATTACAGGCACGCGCCACCATGCCCAGCTAATTTTTGTATTTTTAGTAGAGACGGGGTTTCACCATGTTGACCAGGATGGTCTCGATCTCTTGACCTTGTGATCCACCCGCCTCCGGTCCAAGATTTCTTAAATAGGCCAAAAATACATGAATCAGAAAGCAAAAACTGATCAACTAGACTTCATCAAAATTAAAAACCTCTGCTCTTTTGAAAGTCGCCAGATGAAAATGAGAAGGAAGTCACAGGCTCAAAGAAAATACTTGCAAAACCTTTATCTGACAAAGCAATTACGTCCAGAGTACAGAAAGAAGCCTTACAATGCAACAGAAAAAGAGAGACCCACAAAAAAAGGCAAAAGACTTGAACAAACACCCCTTACTGAAGAAGATATACAAATATCACAACAATCTGTGAGTTGTGAATAATTAAAAAAATACAGGAATTGCTAACAAGCAGTTGAAGGAATGCTACACATCATCAGTCCCTAGAGAAATGCGAATCAAAACCACAATGAAAAACCACTACATTTCTACTAAAATGGCTACAATAGAAGGGCATGTTGGCAAGGACTTAAAGCAATCTGAACTGTCACACACGACTGACAGGAATGTAAAAATGGTACAACCACTTAGGAAAATCTTGACACTTTCTCATAAACTGGAACATAAACTTACCATACAACTCAACAATACAACTCCTAGTATTTACTCAAGAGGAATGGGAACATACGACCACACAAAGTTCTCTTTATGAACATTCAAAAGCTTTAGAGCAAGACTTGCTGAGGAAAAGAATACATTAAGGCAATAAAAAACATTAAGGTAACAAGTGATATGAAATACTCAACAGCACAGGATCTTCTCTGATTATGGTCAGAACAGTTGAAATTCCTTTCTATTGAAAAGCCATTAGGAGAATAAAATAAATTACCATGGGTAAAGCACTTACCATAATAAACATCATAAAATGTTTGTTACATAAGTAAATGAATTAATAAACATAGGAAACCACATAGTGCACATATATTCAACAATACCTACTTTCGAAGGTGGTCATGTTCTTTCAAAAATAGCTCAGTTCTTCTGTTGTTTACTCCAGATCCACTTTTGTATGACCTAGGACAAAAGAGGAAATTTAAAAACGTTTTTGGCAGAGAATGCAAAATCAGATTAAGTGACTGACCCTAGTGATCTTTCAAGTAGAAAAACTGAGCCTCCCTCAAGTTTTGAACGAACAATCAAAGTACATAATCCTTTTCATTTCCCTCTGAATAATGTTATTTATTATAACTAGATAAATATTAATGCCTCTGCCTCTCTAATTTAGGCCTAACAGTTGACTGTTTTTCACCAAAATAACCAACATTCTGAAACAACCAACCAAAAAATCTTACTTTTCCTTTACTTGCTATCTCTGATATCTTCATTTTTCTCCAAGTGGAAGTAAAACTTAGGACTGATTTAGTACATAGCACATAGGGTGGGAAAGCTGTTGAAATGAAATGTTTTCCTTCACAATAATATATGCAATCCACCAACACCTAAGGAACACTGAAATCAAGCGAAACATTTTCTCATTTTAGCACACTTAAGGGTAACTGTTTTGGTCCTTAGTGTATTGAAGTTGATTAAAAAAAAAAAACAAAAAAAAACAACAACAAAAAAAACCCTATTCTTATTACTACCATCAAAAATTTAATTTTTCTGTTTTCCACTAATAAAGTATCAGGAAAAATCAGCTTTTTTTTTTGAGACATTAGAGTCTCATTTTGTTACCTAGACTGGAGTGCAGTGGCACACTCTCGGCTCACTGCTGCCTACTCAACCTCTCAGGTTCAAGCGATCCTCCTGCCTCAGCCCTCCAAGTAGCTGGGATTACAGGAGCATGACAACATGCCGGGCTAATTTTTGCATTTATTTATTTTTGAGACAAATTTTCACTCTGTCACCCAGGCTGGAATGCAGTGGTGCCATCTCGGCTCACTGCAGCCTCTGCCTCTCGGGTTCAAGTGATACTCATGCTTCAGCCTCCCAAGTAGCTGGGATTACAGGTGCCTGACACTATACCAAGCTAAAATTTTTGTATTTTTAGTAGAGATGGGGTTTCACCATGTTGGCCAGGCTGGTCTCAAACTCCTGGACTCAGGTGATCCACCTGCCTCAGCCTCCCAAAGTGCTGGGATTACAGGCACTGGCCACTCTTTTCACTTCTACCTTCTACTGTGATTAACTCAGAGTTGGTACTCAGGAGACAGTTTAATGAATAGCTGGAATATATCTTTTACGGCCATTTTTCAAAAACCAAGTTATTACAATGGGTTGCATTCTAGTGATCCCCACACATTGTGTGTGGGGGGTGCTCAACATCTACACATTAAAGGCCACCCCGTACACAGGTTCTCAATGTATTCCACAAAATGTATATATAAATGGACTGTACGGAAATTGAACAAAAGACGTACATGTCCTGAAGGAATAAAAATCTTGTAACTCTGTTACTGTTACAACAAAATAAATCTCTAGGAAAGTGCTTCTGAGAGTACACATAATCTACAGTTTACAATAAATGTATATCATAGTTTATAAAACTTATCACATAATTTATCACAAGTGAAATGATGGCAGGTATCATTAGATGCTCCAAATTGGAAAGTCTTCAGCTTCAATGAGATGCCCTGGGACTTAACTTTGTCAATAGTGTTCAGTTCTGACAAAATTTTAAAAAATGTATATGAAACACTAGAACAGATCATTAAAGGAGATGTGAAGGGACAGAAGAAAAAAAATATTTAAAATTATAGATTGAGATCAGTATAAGAAGGTTAGGAGTCCTTAAATAATTTAACATAAGGCTATGAGTTTGTATATATTACTGTTTATAATATATAACTGTTGGGACAGGGTACAGGAGTAGGTGATAATCAGGAAGAGAAACATGAAGAGCTTCAGTTACTGATAATGTTAATTATTAAAAATTTTATTTTCTTTGAGTCATCTGCAGAGGATCCTAAAAGTAATGCTATAATTCTTAGGGTGGGTGGTAAGAGATCAGAGAACCATGAAGACATCACCTAAGCAGGACTTTGAATTAAGACAGGAAAGTCAAGGCTGGCAGGAGCCGATGATAAAATAAGGGAAAGCATGAGATAAACACGGAAAAGTAGATTAGGATGACATTGCAGCAGCAGTCTTCAAAAGACAGCGAAATAGGAACCGGAAACCCTGAAATCTCAAGCGTGGTTCTGCCACTCAATTTGCAATTAACCATGAACATATCCCAAAGTCAAATCTGAATAAATATTCTACCAAATAATATAAAAGGCAACTTACTCAATATCTTTCCGTACCGATCCCATGAGATTCTCCCTTTCCCGTATTGCCATAAAGTTTGCTTTGGTTTTATGGAATTCATGTGTATAATCCTATAATAAATAAATCAACATCCAGTCTCAACAAAAGCTAATTATGGATTTTCATCTCACTTAAACAGTTATGTACTGTCATCACACTGTAAATTTCTGTCCAGAAAACTGCTATTTAAGAAATCAAACTAGCCAAAAGTAAAAATAACTTTATAATTACTTTCCTGAAGAGTACTCCCAGTACTCTGGGAGGCTGAGGTGGGCGGATCACTAGAGATCAGGAGTTCGAGACCAGCATAACCAACATGGCAAAACCCCGTCTCTACTGAAATTACAAAAATTAGCCGGGGTGGTGGCACCCACCTGTAGTCCCAGCCACCTCATTCAGGAGGCTGAGGCAGGAGAATCGCTTGAACCCAGGCGGCAGAGGTTGCAGTGAGTTTACACCACTGTACTACAGCCTGGGCAACAGAGCGAGACTCCTGCCTCAAAAAAACAAGGATAAAAGAGTAAATGTCTATCAAGTTCAACAGAGCTTAAAAAAAAAAAAAAAAGGAGTAAATGCTTAGGAACAGAATAACTGGATCAAAGAATCTTACATTTAAATATGGGTATTGCTAAACTGTCTTCTAGAAACACTATATCCATCTATGTTCCCACAAGCAATATATGAGTGCCCTTTTTTTATTTTTCTCTTGCTCATAATGGGTTATAAATGTTTTAACACTTGCTAATCTAAAAGGTGAAAAATCGCCTCTTTCAGAGTTCTGTATTTTTATTTGGAAATATTACTGAAAATGTTTTTATAATTTTGGTCACTCATTTTTTTTGTGTAAGCAAGTTTACATCCTTTGTCCATTTTCCTATTTTTTTTTTTCTGCTTTCTATTATTTCTCTGTGTAGTAAACAAATTAGTCATTTGTTATGGTTTCCAGTATCAAGTCTTATTTATAAAGTCCTTTGCACTCAAAAATTTTTAAGTTTCACCCATGCTTTATGATTTCTTTTTCTGCTTACTTCTTGGATCAATTTGGAATTTATTATGGATATGAGGATTGAGACAGAATTTTTTTTTCAGTCCTTCAATAATTAGCCAATGGTTATAGTTACATTTATTTTATAATTTCTCTTTGTCTCACTGATTTTAAACAACGTCTTTATCAGAAGCTAAAAATTTCCATAAGTAATTGGGTCTACATATGACCTCTACTCTGGTTTAATCATTTTTATTTTTATTTTCTCTAGAATAAAATTGGCTTAACTATTCCAGTTTTTTAACAGGTTTTAAGATCTGGTAGAACTAGGAACCCTCTACCGCTTATCTTCATTTTCAGGTTGTTTTTTCTTGATTGTTCTTGTATGTCTATGATTCCAAATGAACTTCAGTGTCATTCTGTCATTTTCTATATTTAATTAACAAACAACAATATAACCCTGCTATTTCCTTTGTGATGTCATTCAATTTAGAGAAAAGTCTTCCCATCTGAAAATGGAGTGATTCTTTCCTTTACTTAAATCTTATTCTCTATGTCCCTCAGTAGAATTTTGCACATACAAATCCTATATATTTCTTATTTAATTTAGACATACTTTATAGTTTCTTCCATTATATTTTCTAACAGGTTATCATTTGCATGTTGGAAAACGATCTGCTTTTATGTATTCATTTTGTAATCTACCATCTTACTGAACTTAATTGTTTCTAACTTTTTATCAGTTAATTTTCTTGGGTGTACTAGACTTATAATTTTATCCTGCTACCTCATAGAAATTTTGCCCCTTCCTTTCCAATACTTACATCTTTTTTCCCCCCCTTTTTTTGAGACAGAGTCTCACTCTGTCACCTAGGCTGGAGTGCAGAGGCACAATCTCAGCTCATTGCAACCTCCACCTCCTGGGTTCAAGTGATTCTCCTGCCTCAGACTCCCAAGTAGCTGGGATAATAGGCACCTACCACCACACTTGGCTAATTTTTGTATTTTTAGTAGAGACAGGGTTTCACCATGTTGGCCAGGCTGGTTTCAAACTCCTGACCTCAAATGGTCTGCTCACCTCAGACTCCCAAAGTGCTGGGATTATAAGCAGGAGCCACCATACCCTACCTACATCTCACTTCTTTCTACTGTTTAATCGTACTATCAAGAACTTAAAAAACAACGTTACACATTTGCAGTGATCATGGGTATCCCTGTCTAGATTTTTTCTTCAATGGGAATGTTTTTACTGCTTTACCTTTAAACACAATGCTAGCTTTTAATCTAATATACACATTTTTGTATGTATTAGATAAAGTATCTTTCCATTCCTACTTTTTTTTTTTTGAGATGGAGTCTCTCTCTTGTTGCCCAGGCTGCAGTGCAGTGGCACAATCTTGGCTCACTGAAACCTCCACCTCCCGGGGTTCCCTGCCTCTTGAGTAGCTGGGATTACAGGCGCATACTTCCACGCCCAGCTAATTTTTGTACTTTTAGTAGAGACGGGGTTTCGCCATGTTGGCCAGCTAGTCTAAAACTCCTGACCACAGGTGACCCACCTGCCTCGGCCTTCCAAAGTGATGGGATTACAGGTGTGAGTCACCGTGCCCGGCCATCTATTCTTACTTTTAAAAAGAATTTTTAAAATTAGAAATAGTTGCTGAACTTTCTCAATATTAAAAATATTTGCGGCTGGGCACAGTGGCTCATGCTTGCAATTCTAGCACTTTGGAAGGCCGAGGTAGGTGGATCGTCCATACACAGGAGTTAGAGAACAGCCTGGGCAACACAGCAAAACCTCGTGAACACAGGAGTTACCGACCAGCCTGGGCAACATGGCAAGGCCCTATCTCTGCAAAAAACTTTTAAAAAATTAGCCAGGCATGGTGGCATGTGCTTGTGGTCCCAGCTGTTCAGGAGGCTGAGGTAGGAAGATTGCTTGAGCTTGGGAGGTTGAGGCTGCAGTGAGCTGTGATTGCACTACTGTGCTCCAGCCTGAGTGACAGAGTAAGACCCTATCTGAAAACAAACAAACAAACAAAAAACTTGCCCTCCTGTTTGTACTCCATTTCAATCTTGAAGAGTTTATTTCATTTTTTTGGTACATACACATTTAATGTTTTCTCAAACAATATACTAAATATAGTAAATCATTCCCCCTCCATATTATCTTCAAAGTCAGATGAAAGTATACTCTAACCTACTAAGTTATTGTCTATACATGACCATTGGCCATTTCACTGTTACAGCTAGACAGCTAGGTCTCCCAGAGTGGAAGTATATGTACCCAGTGATGAATATTACTCAACTTCACCAGGAAAAACCAAGAACTATTAAATATTTTCCAAATTTTCTAATACTGACCAAAAAATTTTTAAAAAGTAAAACAAGTCCCCATAGCATGGCATTTATTTTCTCAGATTTTTCTCTTCGTCCTTTTAAAGCCATGTGGACTTATCTCCTGACCTCGTGATCCACCCACCTCAGCCTCCCAAAGTGCTGGGATTACAGGCGTGAGCCACCAAGGATGTATCTTATGCAGGGATTAAAACAAAACAAAACAAAACACAACACAAAACACCAAACTCTGTGATAACAGAAAAGTCCTGAGCCCAATATATTACCTGCAGTATGTCTCTATGTCGCTGTAATGTATGCATCAGGGCTGCATTCAAGGAGGGGACACCAGCACTGTTGGTATATTCTGCCATTTTATCATTTACCCCTGTAAGCTAGAAAGAAAGGAGAAAAAAACAACCAAAATATTTACAAAGCACTATAAACAGCTACAAGCCAATTATTTGCCTATATGCCCTTTCGGCTGATGGCAAAACAAAATAAAACAAAAAACAATATAGCAAGTAACAATTCAGCATTTCCCCCACATGGTCTTTCCATTAAGACCAAAATAACACCATATGACCTGAGAATGGCTGTCATCAAAATTTGCCTGGGAAGGCACACATCTTGAATGGAATGGATAATTTCAATAAACATGTCTGTCTCAATATAATCTAGTATCCTATCTAATAAGTACATGCTTATTTGCAAAATAGCCATTTAACAGAAAGCACTTACCCTTGCCAAAAGTTGTTCAATCTCAATTGCCATTGTCTCAAACATTCTGTCTTGGCTTGATCCATTTAAAAGGGGTGTTGTATCAGAACTAAAAAGAAGTTCAGTTAAAGAGGATCCATTACTCAAATACAGTCCTTTAAAACATACTTAAAATAAGGTAGTTAATAGGAGCCATAAAGGGAATCACGCATTATGTTACAGGGTCTGTGAGAAACAATCTCTTACATTTTTACCCCAAAGGAATTATAGTTCCTTCAACCTTAACATTAAGTTCTCTCTTCTTTCCTTTACTGTTACCAAGAGGAAGTAAAATCGAGATTTAAATGTTCCACAGATTAGATAACAAGCTATTGAATACTCAGAAACTGGCTTTAAATCCAATATATACAGCCATGTCCTGCATGCTTTGGTACTAATCTTCCACATTTCCACTTATAATATGCAATCATCTTTTTGTTTTGTAAAATTGTATTAAATTGTCTTTTCAAATCTGAATAGTCAAAAATCGATCTTTTTACAAGTGAAACTTATGTTTGACAGATTCAAATTCTAAACCCACCTGTTCTCAGTGTTTCTTTTGCCTTTTCCAAAACACCACTAACCTTCATCAGATTGGGTATATATTAGCATATGAAGAGCAGCTCAATATAGACCTAAGTTATACTGGAGACAGATAAATGCCCAGGCAATTGACTATGCTCTCCAATCTTACCAAAGACTTTGTCCTGCCCTGTGCAGATGCCTGGGTGTGGCAAATGAAAAAGATTAAATAAATTTCTATAGACTACTAGTATAAATCTTCCTTTACCAGATACATGAGAAAGAAAATAGACCAACAGAATTAAAGCTTCATAAAGGGAGGAAAAAAATTGTCTCTGTCTTATTCATAGATATATGCCTAGCACCTAGTAAAGAGCCTGGCACATAGTAGGTGCTCATTAAATGTTTGTTGAATGAATGAATGTGAGAGCAATCCCTACTACTGGTTATTCCATACTCATTATATTCATATATTCATCAGGACAGTATAAGAGTAAAGGGTATAAGTAGAAGAGTAAAAAACTAATTCTTCACAATACTAGGTAGGATTCAGTTAAATTGAATTCATCTTATAGGTGGGTAATGATTCATAGACCTTGAAGTTCTGAAAATACAGAAAGTTAAAAAAAAAAAAGATTCCTGTAATAAAATAGTATTCTAGTTATTGCTTAGTTGACTCATTGTGACACATTTCCAACCTGGGCATCAAACAAGAAACTTTACATATCAAATCTTCACCCTTATGGCCTTAGGTTTTTTAATAAAAGGGGAGTTAGACTGAAGTAATTTTACAAAGCCAGTTACAGTTTGTAGCAAAATTTCTTAGGAAATGTTTTCAAGATAGTTTTTCCTTTAGAGGAGTAACAAAAAAAAAGTATTCGTTCAGGAAGCACACATAACATAGAAAATGCATAGAAAGAACATTCTTCATTCTCTTGACTTGCTAAATAAAGCCAAGCCCAGAGCAATGCAATCTATTTGATGTGTTAGTAATTTATTTTTAGATCCTGGAGTCAATGTTGGCCCTGCTGCCTTCACAACCAATGAGCCCTTATGAAAAAGAAACAGTACTTTGGCTATAGTGTTGAACTCACTTTTTGTGCGAATGTACACAATATAGTAGGGTTTAGAGTGTGGGCTCTGGAGATAGACCTGGATTCAAATTCAAGCTCAGATTTTGTTGTTTTTATTAGCTGACAAATATCCCGCTCACTTTGAAACTTCGAAAAAGTATGTAAAGTCAGTGTGGATTAACAACAATTCTGATACCAGCAATTTCACTACTAGGTATATAGAAACATGCTGTGTAAAAATGTTCCCAGCAGCATCTATAGAAAGCTCTTACCTAACATATAATGAACACTCTATGTCAGCTATCAAAATTATTATTAATTAGCAAAAATTAGAAACAATGTCCATCACCAAATGGTTAAAGTGTGATACAGTCATACAATACTACATATGAATTACAAATGAATATACCAGAATTAAATGAATCCATAGCTGAATCTCAAAATGTTAAAGAAAAAAACCCATTGCAAAATAAATATACTATATACACGTACTACATAACATAATAGGATACTACGAATCGCTCAGAAATACAAACATGCAGTAAGAATATATGTTGATTATGGTGTGGGAGAAAGTGGAGTGCCATAAGGTACTTCAATGGAATGAGCAATAATCATCATTTTTTTAAAATGGGAGATTTGTAACTGTCTTAAATATCTCCTAATTTTTTTTTAAATTTGTTATTATTATTTTTTAATGGAGTTTTGCTCTTGTTGCCCAGGCTGGAGTGCAATGGCACAATCTTGGCTCACCGCAACCTCTGCCTCCCAGGTTCAAGTGATTCTCCTGCCTCAGCCTCCTAAGTGGCTGGGATTACAGGGCACGCACCGCCATGTCCAGTTAATTTTTTGTATTTTTAGTTTCACTAGGCCAGTCTCAAACTCCCAGCCTCAGGTGATCTGCCCGCCTCAGCATCCCAAAAGTGGTGGGATTACAGGTGTGAGCTACCACGCCCGGCATTTTTTGTTATTTCTATTTTTTTTAGAGACAGGGTTTCATCATATCGCCCAGGCTAGTCTTGAACTCCTGGGCTCAACTGATTTACCTTTCTTCAGCCTCCCAAAGTGCTGGGATTACAGGTGTGATCCACTGTGCCTGGCCACTCCTAATATTTTTTTGAAACAAGTGGATGACTTAAAGTGAGCATAAGCTTCAAAGATAAGAATGTATTTTCCATACATTCAATATAGTAATATACCAGTTTCTCAAAAAAGTACCAAAATTAAAAATAGTTTTGATAATTAACAGCAAGGATACACACTGCATTAGACACATTCTAACTAGAATAAACACCAGAATAGTAATATGTATACTTGGCACCTGGGTAGATCTGCAGGTTCATTTAGCAATTGGAAAACACAAGAAATACATATCACACGTACAAATCAGCCACCTTTTCCTACACTGGCCGAACACTCATATTTTTGATATAAACTTATTCTTAAGTTCCAGCAGGATTCTCCTGACACTGTAACAATCTTTGTCTAAGGATTTCAAATAAATGCTAGTCTCAAGAATTCAGAAGAATTTTAATAAGTCACTAAAAAATAAAACAATCAATGACAAAACACCAAAAATTCACCAACAGACCAACTTACAGAAGTCATATATTTTAGTTTATTTTTTATTGCTTTAAAAACATAGCTAAGGTATAAGAGACAGAATCTGGTAGTACCTATACCTGTCGCGTCTTCCATCTCGGCCACTGCTATGACTGTAACTTGTACATAGTTTGCTGAAGGAAACCAGTTTCAGGTCAAGTTCATTTTCCAGCTGTCGAGCCTGTTTCCTGAGATCTTTAACAAAATTGTAACAGAAAATAATTAGACACAAAAAGTCCATCAACAGACACAAAGATCACAAGACTATTTTGAAGAAAACAAACTATGAAAATGATCATATACTGATCTCGTTACCCCCATAAAGAAAAATGTTAAAAGAAGGAAACCAATGACTTGCCCAGCAAAGCAAATTAGTCACTTATAAACTTCAGAGGGGGCAAGAAGGGAAGGAGCAATGGGAGATGCAGCTTTGCAGCTTTATTCCAAAAACGGCTAAAAAACAAATGTTCTACCCTTCCTGAAACGACTTGTATAGCAATAACTTATTGTATAGCAATAACTAAAACTCTATAATTTATTCCATAATTCCAAAAACTTACTGTATAGCAGTAACTAAAATTCCATAATTCAGAGAAAACAAGAAGAGAATACAAATCCCAAAGGAACTAAAAATATGGTTTCTGACCAGTGTATCAACTTACCAATTAATATTACAAGAAAAAAGCATTATTCTTTTGAAAGGGATTTTGCTTTTTATGTTTCAAAGCTTTATTAGACTTATTAACTTCTTTTCATAATAGCAAAATGACTTAACTTTTTTTTTTTTTTTGAGATGGAGTCTCCTTTTGTCACCCAGGCTGGAGTGAAGAGGCATGATCTTGGCTCACAGCAGACTCCACCTCCCGGGTTCAAGCAATTCTCCTGCCTCAGCCTCCCAAGTTGCTGGGACTACAGGCAGACACCATAACACCTGGCTAATTTTTGTATTTTTAGTAGAGACGGGGTTTTATCATGTTGGCCAGGATGGTATCAATCTCCTGACCTCAATTGATCTGCCCACCTTGACCTCCCAAAGTGCTGGGATTACAGGTATAAGCCACCATGTCTGGCCCAAAATGACTTCTCAATTGAACATAAAAAAAAAGTGACACAACAATTGTCTTTTTCTTTCTTTGTTATTAGAAAAGAGGTCTCACAATGTTGCCCAGACTGGTCTCAAACTCCCAACCTTGAGGGATCCTCCCATCTGGGCCTCCCAAAGTGATTACAGGCATGAGCCACGTGCCTGGCCAAAAACCGCCTTTAAAAAACTTACTGCAAGTAATTTGGAGGGCTAAAAGTAACAATAAACAATGTGCTACTAACAAGGTCTAGTATTAGTATGACAGAAATAAGACAAGTTTTTATAGCAGAAACAAACAAGGAAGCAAGCAGAAAAATTGGTTTAGCAGTCTGGCATTTAAGGGGTTGTGTGAGAGAAGCCACAGTCTGGACATCTACACAGATATAAGTGTTCTCATTCATGGCGAAGTGAAGGTTAAAATAAAAGGGCAGAAGTACCAGAGGTAATGGTATAAGAATCTTTCAGGGATAAAGAATACAAAACATTATTTCAATATGCTTTTCAACCAGAAATAAAAAGTACAATTAATATAGTGGAGCATATTTGCCCAGAGACCAAATGCCAGTTTGAATCTCAGCACAGTCACCTACTGACTCTAAGATTTGTTGACAAATCTACTTAACCTATGAACTTCAGCTTCTTGTTTTTTAAACCCCTACCTTCGGTATTCAATATTAGTAATCGTATGCTTAAAGCAGCTGGCACAGAATAGGTTGTCAGTAATGAGCAGCTGTAACATTATAGCATGGTGCTTCAAAAAAACCACAGTCAAATGACTAATAATAAAGGTATCAGTAGCCACTTCTATATAACTTTTAAATGTTTTCTAGCGGTCGGGCCCGGTGGCTTATGCCTGTAATCCCAACACTTCGGGAGTCCGAGGGAGGTAGATGACGAGGTCAGGAGATCCGGAACATACTGGCCAATATGGTGAAACCCCATCTCTACTAAAAATACAAAAATTAGCCAGGGGTGGTGGCGCATCCCTGTAGTCCCAGCTACTCAGGAGGCTGAGGCAGGAGAATCACTTGAACCCAGGAGGCGGAGGCTGCAGTGAGCCAGGATCATGCCACTACACTGCAGCCTGGGGCAACAGAGCCAGACTCTGTCTCAAAAAAAAAAAAGTTTTCTAGCTAGTACACACATTTCAAATGGGCAATGAAATACATGTTTTAAACTATAAGCACACTTTTCTGTGATTGGAATAATTGTCTTCTCTAGTAAAAAACATAAGTAAAAGTATATTTAAAGTATGACAGGCCAATCTGGATAAATTTAGAATGAAGTTTCTTAGACCAAGTGGCTGACAGTGACTGACAATATTGTGATTTCTAGAGGCTTCCCTGGATACCAACAGGAACAGGGCAAAGGAATTTGGAAAGTCGTTTCTATGCTGCAGTAAAGCAAAGAGATCATTGAGAGAAAAAGGTGAGCTTCCTCTGTTCTCGTTGATCATCATGGTCCAGGAATGAGTTTTATGTAAGCTCACTGTATCGGACTATATTTTCAGGAATTAAATGAATGCATCTGTCAAATCACAAGGCTTTCTTGGTGGGAGAAGTATAGCAAATGTAACTGCAATCCACACAAGCTCTCTCAACTTTTTCAATAAAACCGATTCTAGGCTCCAGAGGAGAAGAATAAGTTATTTTCTCTCCCTTCAAACACCCAATCCTGGAAGCCCCCAAGCCTGTAGTTGTCATAGGGACCCAACAAGAGACATTCTGTTCATACTTCCGCCGACGGACCGGAATGCAAGTTCCTCCTTTCTCTTTTCCCACTCAGTTTTCCAATAGTGACCTCAACTCCAAGGCGCCGACTCCTCCAGTCTCCCGGGCTCTGGATCTTCTCCCTCAACATTCGCTTCCTCTCAGAGTTCGTACCCCAAGCGCCTTCGACAGAGTTCCATTCCTCCCTCAGTACAGTTCTACCAGCTGATTCAGGTCCCTCTTCCTCCACATCCCCGCCCTGTCCACTCTGCGCAACCCCTGCCCCACGTCCCGCTCACACGGCCCGGCCAGGCCAGCCCTCCTGCCCCAGAACGTTCAGGCTCCTCAGTCCCCAGGCCCCGGGGCTCCCATTTAGGCAAGCCCGGCTGCTCAGCTCGGCCACTCCTGGGGTCTGGTTCTTTCCTCTGCTGCTTTTCCCAAGATCCGTCCTCACTCAGCCCCTCTCACCCTCGTGGGACGCGCCCGGAGGCTTTCTCGCCCTCACCTTCCCAGTAATTGCTGGTTCCTGCCGCCATCTTTGTTGTCCAACGTCAGCCGGGATAGGGGAGCAGAGGCGCCGCAGGCCAGAAAGTCACTACCGCGCCTGTTTCCGCCCCGAGCGCCAGGGCCGATGGGATGCGAGCCTCCGCGGACACTGCCACCTGCTGACCAATTCGTTATCTTACAGCTTTTAAGTAGCCAGAGAGCAAAAACTTCAGCTTGGGCTCCTGACGCTCCCTGAATGTCTTTCATTTCCACTTTCTGCGCCCCAGTTCGCGGCTTATCCTTTCTCTCAGCAGGTGTCTACTTGACTGGGAGGAGAATCATCCTCAGGCAACTTTCTGTTTCCCTCACATCTCTAATGTGTGTCCTCAGGCAGTTTCTTCCTTTCTCAGAGGCAGAGACTCTCTTGACAGAGCCATTTTCTTCTTCCTGCCTCCCCACCTGTGCTCCATCATCCAGGCTCTCCGGCATATGCACTCTTCTCGCCTGGGCTTTGCTTGTGTCTGCAGCAGTTCTGGTTCCAGCCCTTTTTCCTTGCCAGCCACCACATCTAGAGAGAGTGAGCTAACTGCTTCCACATGCTCTCCGCCTGAGCGGAGGTTGAGGGCTGTCCAAACCCGTACTTTATAGATACAGAAATTATCGCAGTCTATTGGTACTGACATTTTTCCTTTTCTAGTGAAGTGTAGAAACCCTAATTCCTGTAAAGTCCTTTTTCCTACTCATTTATAATATAGTTGTTTTTGAGTATTTCCTGTGTATTCGTTGAGAGAACCACATCAAGTCAATGTTGTAATATTTGCTTCAACTGTAAGGCATAAGTTAGAGAATTCAAGGGAAGAGGAAAGCTTGGTTGATTTATGCATATTTTACTCGTCCCTTCCTAGTGTCCCAAGATTCCTTTTTCGTTTTTTATCGTTTCCTTGCTGTTTCAAGAATTTCCCTCCGCCGTTTTTTTTTTTTTTTTTTTAAAGACTTGGTCAGCCGGTGACAAATTCCATTAGTTTTTTTCTTCATCTATGAATGTTTTGATTTCCCTTCATTCTTGGGGGATAGGATATTGTTGCCAGCTATCGAATCTGGAGTTGACAACACTTGAAAAATGTGCCAATTCTGGCCTCAATAGTTTCAGGTAAGAAATTGGCTACCATTTGAATTGTTTTTCCACGGTAGCTAAAGTATCTTTTCTCTCTCGCTGCTTTCAAGAACGTTTCTTTCCTTTCAGAAAGAAGGAAAGAAACGCCTTGGCATAGATTTCGTTGGATTTATCCTGTTTGGGATATCCTCAGCTTCTTGATTCCTAGATTTATGTCTTGTGCCAAATTTGGGGGATTCTCAGCCATTGTTTCTTTCAATACTTTTTCTATCTCACACTGTTTCTCTTCTTGTTCTGGGAGTCTGATGATGTGAATGTTAGATCTCGTGTTAATGTCCCACATAGCTCTGAGGCTATGGTAATTTGTTTTCAGTCTATTTTCCATCCTTCAGATTTGGTAATACATGCTATTCTGTATTTGCTGACAGGAAAGTATGTCTTTCCTCTGTTCCCTCCGTTCTGCCGTTGAGCCCATTTGTTGAGTTCATGTCAATTATATCTTCTGTTTCTTTGCTGAGACTCTTTTCATCATTTGTTCTAAGTTTGTTTGTGATTGCTCACTGAAGTCTTTTTATTATAGCTGCCTTAAAGTCCTTGTCGAATAATTCCAACATCTGTGTCATCTTGATGTTGGGGTCTGTGGTCTTTTTTTCACGCAAGTCGAAATTTTCTGGGCTTATTGGAGTGATGATTTTTAAAAATTGTATCCTGATGTTTTAGGTATTCGTTATGAGATTCTGGATCTCATATAAGTCTTCTGTTTAAACAGACTTCCTCTGCTACTAGGCTGGTGGGGGACATACGGGAATGCTTGCTACTTCCAGATGGAAGTTCAGCTCCTCCGTTGGCCTTCACTGATTCCTCAGGCAGGAGGTGCCTTGTTGCTGCTCCCCATGTGGTCCCCACTGCCACCACGGCAGGCAGCCTCATTACTGCTGTGCAATGGACAAGAAGTCCAAGTGGAGGAGTGGGGGGTGCTTCATTACAGCCGGTGAGTGTGGAAGCCTAGCCTCCTCGCTCAGCCTTTGCTGGCAAGGAGGGGTGAAGATAGGCCTCAGTTTTTTCTGTGGCATTTGCCTGGAGTGGTGAAATTATTATCTAAAAGTATTCTGTCTTGTTAGGACACCTGTTTCCTGGTCCCTCATCTAGAGAGAGAAGGCTCTCCATTTTCCTTTGGGCTTTTCTTGTCTGTACCCTTTGGCATTTCTGGGTTGCCAGCCTCTCCAGCACCCATTATAGGACATAGGAAACAAAAGGGAAACCCAGCGAACTCGCCTTCATGTTCTTTGCATCCTGAGGTCCCTAGCTGGTCTGCCTTCTTCTTTCCACCTTTTTGAGTCTTTTAAATATATATATATAATGTATGATTTTTTTTTTTTTTTTTTTTTGCTGTTCTTAGTGGGAAGAATAGAAAGAAATACGGCTAATCCATATTGCCCAGAAGTGAAATTGTCTGTTTAATTTTTTTAATGTTTTTAATTATCGGGCTGGATGTGGTGGTTCATGCCTCGTTAGAGGCACTTTGGGAGGCTGAGGTGATAGGATTGCTTGAGTCCAGGAGTTCGAGGCCAGCCTGGGCAACATAGTAGGACCTCATCTCTACAAAAAAATAAAACATTAGCCAGGCATGGTGGTGTGCCCTGCAGTCCCAGCTACTCAGGAGGATGAAGTGAGAGGATTATTTGAGCCCCGGAGGTCAAGGCTGCAACAAACCATGACCATAGCACTGCATTCCAGCCCGGGTGACAAAGTAAGACTCTGTCTGAAAAAAAAAAGAAAAGAAAAAAATCAGCTAAAATTATTTGTCTCTTCTTTTACTTTCTTGAATTTATTTATCATCATTTTTTTTTTTTTTTGAGATGGAGTTTTGTTCTTGTTGCCCAGGCTGGAGTGCAATGGTGCAATCTTGGCTCACCACAGTCTCCACCTCCTGGGTTCAAGCAGTTCTCCTGCCTCAGCCTCCCGAGTAGCTAGAATGACAGGCATTTTGTATTTTCAGAAGAGACGGGGTTTCTCCATGTTGGTCAGGCTGGTCTCGAACTCCTGACTTCAGATGATCTGCCTGCCTCAGCCTCCTCCCAAAGTGCTGGGATTACAGGCATGAACCACCACACCCGGCCTGTCATTCTTTTAAAATTTCTGGTAACTGAGAAATCCGTACTTCCCATAGGATTGTTTCTATTTTTCTTGACCTTTCACAATTTAATCTTGTCTTTTGACAGTAAGAACTTTTGATTGGATGCTGATTATTATAGTTAAAACTTTATGTTAATCATTTGAGGATCTGGATGATGATGTCTTTCTCCAGAAAGAATTTGCTGTCTCTGGTGGCACGTGCCTGTAATCCCAGCTACTCAGGAGGCTGAGGCAGGAGAATTGCCTGAACCCAGGAGGCGGAGGTTGCGGTGAGCCGAGATCGCGCCATTGCACTCCAGCCTGGGTAACAAGAGCGAAACTCCGTCTCAAAAAAAAAAAAAAAAAAAAAAAAAAAAGAATTTACTGTGTCCTCCTGCAGGCAGTTCAGGTAGGGGCAGATCAGCTTAATCCAGTATGGGGAGGAACTAATACCAGGAGGGATTCTGTGTTTATTAAAATTGGTCTATTTCTGGTTAGCCCTTAATTCTAACATGTGGGCATTCAAGTTTTCTAACTGAAAGCCTGTTTACTAGTGCCCCTTCCTTGACAAGTGCTAACCTCATATTTTTCTCCCACCCAGTGATATTGTCTGAAACTTCTGCTTGGGTTCTCTCCCTCTTTCCTGGCCTCTCTTCTGTCACCTACAAATTGACAAATGCCTGGAGGTGAAAGTTTTAACCATCATGCTCACCTCTCAGCTCTTTTTGTTCCAGGATCTTGATCCTATAAGTCCTTCTTCCCCTAGTAGTTCATCCAATCCTTCAGTTTTTTTTTTTTTAAATAAAATGCAGCTTTTCTGATTGCTCTTGATGAGAAGGTCTTTCCGTTTCAAGCCAATCCATCCATAGCTGGAAGTGGAACTAAATTTTATGATTTCTAATTTATCTGTAGATTATTTTGTATTTTCCACCTATATGATCACATCATCTGCTAATAATGACAAATGCATTTCTTATCAATATTCATTCATATATGCTATTTATATTTTCATGTTTCATGGCTGAGATCTATTCTGATATTAGAGCAAAGCTCAGGTATTAAATACTTTAGAAGGTATTTTTGTTGGCATGTTCAGGGAGGAGTTGTAAGTGCTCTGATTTTGCAGTTCTCATTTGACTAGCAGGACTCTAAATTTTCCTCCTTTTTATCACCTAATTGTCTTTTGCTTCTTTTATTTTCGTCACCTGATTGTCAAAGGGTTCTTCCCCATTTTTTATTTTTTCCCTTCACTAGAAGCTCTTTTCTTTTGAAACTATGTGTTTCAAAGACTGCCTCATTTAAGTCACACCTGCTCCCTTTAGATTGTGCTCACTCTGAAGCCCCTTTCCTCTGGCTTGTGCTCAGATCTGCTTTGACATGTTTTTTAGATTGAGAGTTAGGTGGACCTAGTCTTTCTGGCAATAGTTTTAGACCAATATTAGAACATTACTTCCTTTTTCTGGCGTCTCTCTCCTGTCTTCCCTGCAGTTTATCTCCACAGAGCCTGTGGGATGCTGCTGGGGTGGGCCTGTGAGAATCCATGTTGAGATTTGCTGGTTTTCCTCATCTTACTCAGTTTGAAGTTTCAAAATCCTCTGCTTTCAAATTATGCTGAGAGAGTGGTTTCTCTATGGTTTTTCCTGCTTGTGGTTGCATTATTTTGCAATGAAATATCAGGAGACAGGTAGCTAGGCTACCACTAATGTTTTCAACAACTTGGAAATTTGCTTTCATTCTTGAAAGGTATGTTCAATATAGAATTCTATGTTGGAAGTTATTTAATGTTTCCCCCAGCATTTTAAAAGTATGATTTCAATGTACTTTGGTTTCCATTGCTGAGAGTGAGTCTAATT